GATTGTATTATTATAAACTTACAATTATATTAGAAGGTATACAACTAATAATAATGAGCTAAATTATAAAAACTAAATCGAAAAAAATTATTGAACATTTTACAACGTTGTTTGGGCGAATTCAATTTGAAAACTAAGAGTACTCCTTCCTGCCAAATTCATTTCTGCACAAGACACAGTTGGTCGACTAAAGACGACGCAATTATAATATGTGTACTAATCGCTTTATTCAGTATAAATATGATTAACCGTTCATAGATCGAATTGCATCAGAGTGTATAGAATTTTGAAACGAAAGTAAAAAATATATTATAAGACTCATAACGCCAGAAAAGTTATCCATATAGCCTCGAATAAAACTATATTTTGTTTTCAATAATTAAATGCGCCCTCTCACCCCCCCCCCCCCTATTAATTAGGCAATTATATTGTTAATAATAATATTGAGGTCCATCCATCATTTTAATAGTCATTTAATGTCATTGATACAGAATTCTTGGTCACACGAGGATCTCACACGGGTACTATTGCATGAAGGCATCATGGACAGAACCATGCAATTTATAAACGATAACCACACACACGTTCGTGCACTGTCCATATTATGTTACAGCAGCCATACAGAAATGTCAAATGTCAAGAAATGTATAATATTTTATTAATTAAAACAAAATCTAAATGTTTAAATTGATCCACCTATTATATAGTTACCTATAGCTAGTCCCGTGTATTATCATAATGGCGTATTCACGTGCTACCATCTATCAGACGGTTTTTCTTTCTAGACGGTTGGACCAATTTTGTTTTTCAAATACTAAACTAATGTTACCTAACAAAGTTCGATTATTTTGACGGTTAAGCCGTGGACGATGGTGTGAGCCAGCCCATGGCTGCAAATAGTGCAAACTGTTTGTATTTAGTGCTGCGCATTCGTTACATAGGTATATTAAATGTTATTAATTTATTATTATTGGTGTACGTAATTTATAGCGCGTGCACGTAACCTTGACTCATTGGACGCTGGCGAGTAGTTTTAATTCATCCCGCAATATAAATTGGGATCGGATATCACGGTCATTAGGTACGACCAAAGGCGAAATCCGATTAGACAACCGACGGACGCACACGTCATTGATCCGAATACTAAATAGGTACCTATACCTGTACGGTATACTACCAAAAAGTCCTAGAAAAAAAAAAGTCCGTGGTAAAAAAGCCCGGTACATATAATTAGGTAAAAGAAAAAATATGATGTGATGCACAATCGAATTTCCAATTAGTATTAATACAAATTGTAACTAAATGACCTAGGTGCCTGGCGAAATTAATCAATAATCTTGTAGGTGCCTACCAATATCTCAAAATACTCACAAAATATATCGGTTCAATATATTATTTTAAATATTGTTACACAATACACATATATTATATATGCCGGAATTTTTTTAGTTGAGATAGTTAATACTTAATTAAACTGAGAAATCATTATAATGTATTATATGTATATGATAGTTGATACTAAGTACCTACCCAATTATAATCATTGAATTTTTTTTTTAATTTATTATTTTAAATATTGTTACATATATATACCGGACTTTCTTACCTCGGACTTTTTAGACTTAGGACTTATCTACTTCAGGTTTTTTACTTAGGTGTTTTTTACCCCGGAATTTTAATCGCGATTCACCTGACACCTGTACAGTGTGCATGCGTAGTGCCTTTGAGTGTGATTGGGCTTGTTATAAAATAATATAATACCTAATACAATAACAATGTAATACATTAAAAACTAATGTCAATGTGTAATGTGTATATAGGAACGCGTCGCATGTGTACATTTAAAGTCGAATCGTACAACTTCTAAACTTACATTTTATTGGCGAACGGAGTTATTTACTATATTTAACCATCGTATTTGAAGTGGCCAGTGGTGTGACATATATTATCATAAATTTATAGCTATGGCCTGTGAACACCTATAGATCTCGTCGACTGGCGACTGAATAATATATAGTATACCTACTCTACATAGGTACTCACGACCTCGAGCTTAATTTTCACGAAGCCGAACCTACGATAATTAAAATTACCTAGGTAGGTATATATCGAAATGTAAACAATTATTGTTTTGTTTCCTCGCACTAAAATGTACACGGTTTCCAATAACGCTATTGGTTATCATAATATAACAATGCATTTAAAATTATATCTACTTATGCTCTAATTATATGGCCTATTTTCATCGTTTTCATAATTTTTTATAATATTGTGTACCATAGGCGGAACTAGAGTTCAAATTCTGGGAGGGAGGGGGGCTACAACCCTCGCAACTAAACTATTAACATAAATTAACCCACAGAAGGCCTATACAATATTTTTGGGGGGATAAGGCCCCCTAGCTCCCCTCTCACTAGTTGCGCCACTGTGGTTCACTTATAGTACAATTCAACACGAGGTATATAAATATAATTTTAAAAGTTTTGTAGATATTCCATTCAAATAAAAGTATTTACTATCAATTTGAATATCATATATTCGAAGGAAATCGTTAAACATGCACAAAAATCGTTGTTCTTCAAAAATATAAATGTATACAAACATTTTCAATACAAAGTAATAACTGACTTGGATCTCCGTTGACATAGTGAATAAATCGATAATATAATCCAATCATGAATTATAAGCTACTTGCATAACATTATCGTATATCTACATACAGCGGTTTAATTTTATGATAATTTACCTAATGTGTGCGTATAATATCAAGGATGCGAATTCATAGACGTATATTAACTGTAAGTACCGACAAAATATCGTCTATAGACAATTGTATATAATACAATGTCCAATATTTTTTAGTTATTCGGCCTTGTCAAACATTTAAAACAAATGAGTGCACGAAAGTCACATCCATATGTAGGTCATATCTACAAAAATAATATAATATACACAATCTGGAAGAAATGAATTTCACCTACAAACTCGAAAATTTTCTGAAAATTTTGGCTTAAATTTGACTTATTATTTAAATACGTGCTCAAGACTATGTAGCCACCTAAAGCGGATAATGTGTTTTTTTTGACCGAAGCTTTCGAGAAGATCCCGTTAGCTACGGGGTCATATAATATATACTTTTGTGGATCCCGTCACATCAAAATTGTATTATGTCTACAGTTTAAGTACAGTATACACTGTTCGCGAGCAATAAATCAAAATATAATATACCCAGCTAACTCAGCTAAGACACTCTAATTTGCGTGAGATATAGGCACGTCCTTCATCTTGACGTTATCCGCCATTTCCGCAACATTTTGACAAGTTGAATAGTAAGTTAGTGAATCATATAATATAGTTGTTGGTAAGTGAAATTGCAATTATTGTAAATTTGAGTATGTTAATACGTTGTATTTATCCATTTTAACGTAATTATTTATACCATACAAGAGGTGATCGGAAAGTTATAGGAATCAAAAATCATGGGCACGAACATCCATGTATTGTGTATATAATTTGTAAACACGCGTGTGTATCCCATTCCAAAGTTCTTGAACACCCTTTATGAACAAAATTATGAACGCATACTATGGTACATATAGGGCATTAACCCAGACGGAATACCACACGTGACCACAGTTGCCCGAACCAAAATTATTATTATCATCTGAAACTATAATAACAGCCATATAAATGAAGTAAAAAATAAATTTATTTCGGTGAACCGAAATAAATTCGTGTGTGAGCCACAACCTTTTATATATAGTAACCTAGAAACACGCCCCAAGTCTCATGGAATCGATCGATATAACTTTTATCGAAAACTGCCCGGTAGTGCGATCTGTATCTCACCGTTTATATTTTAACACATGACATCAAAATTTGCGAACGCGATACTGTTGCTTTTCTTATATAATATTTTAAGTGCAATGCCTCGGCCACAGCAGCCGTTCGCTTGTTAATAAGGGAACGTCACATCCGATTACCCGAATGTGACGTTCCCGTCTTATAACAAAAGCATACAGTTATATAATACATAGCAAATTCGAACAAACATCAATTTCGTGTAGTTAGCACACATATTTGAGTGAATATTCGTACCAATGACCTATGTCCTATTGACTTGAAGCCTTGAAGGTGAGAATAAATTATTTGGCAAAAATGTATAATTTAATGATGTCAGTGTACCTACTGGCTGTGTGGCACAATTTGGTTATAGCTATACGCCTATAAGAACGATATCTTTGTTTCAATCATATTGTTGTAATATTTTACATAACTCTCTTAAAAACCCCTTCATAAAAAATTACACAAAACTAGTTTTGCAATGTCATACGACTTGCATAGTTGTATACGTTTGAAAACATGCAGTGTGGGCGTGAGTCGTTGTTTCATATTTTAACCGGCGTACGTGATTTTTCAGAGATAAAACGCCGCGAGTGATCCTGGTTCGGGTGTCATTTGGTAAATCGCAGATAGAAATAGCGATTTTATTGTGTTGCTGAAGGTTTTGTCGTCGAGAACGAATTAATAATTGCCGCGTTTGTCGTCGAGACGCCCACCGATAGGTACACTTAAGAACATGGAACATAATGTTTGATTGTCCCTTATATTATGTTCTATGACATAAGCCAACTATAGGTAATCCATCTATGTTTTACAATTATGAAATACCAGTTGGCCAGTAGCTAATATAAGTATTTCAAAAAAATTATTTATTTTTAAAAACAAAATTACAAAAAAAAACGTATTATAATATCGAAAGTTTCCTGAAAATTATGACAGTCAGATAGCTCCCCCCCACCATGTCTCTGGGGCCGCCCCTGATACCCACCGAACATAAAAAATCAAATAGAATAAACAGCTGCCCTTTATGCGGGGGTGGGAGAGATGAAACATTGTACAGTTGAACAGTTCAATAAAATAACAATATACTGTCGACGAGAAGACGCGACGGACTTCCTGGAAGTTTTCTCTTAACGGTTTTACGCTAAAAAACTCACCTCTGCACGTTGGCCACGTCTCCCCGCTGTACCGCCAACAGGTACTTTTTCTCTTCCAGCGAAAGGGATTTCGCCGACTTCCGGTCTTTGCCCATTCGGTTCATGTTGGAGGTACTGCTGCTGCTGCTGCGTTATAACGTCGACTAGTTCGCCACGATCATGGTCACACTTAAATATTACGAACGGCAGCAGTCGTATGGGCAGCGCTTCCGAAAAGCTCGGTCATCGTCGGCGGTCCCGCGGGTAGCGTCGATGAGCGGGAAACGGAATTGCAAGAAAAACGACGACGGCTCGGCCGATAGCGGACGGTGCGACGAAACACCGGAGACGAGACACGGCGACGACGGAGCTGCTCAGTCACAGTGAACCGCGGACATTTTACACTATTCTGTCTATTGCGTTCCGAGTCCACCGGTGAAAACTATACCATGCACCGGAAACCTGTTGCACCGTCGCTGCGTCCGCGATAGCCGCCGGATAGCTGTAGTCCTTGGACGCTGTTTGTCCCGCCGCCGCCGAAAATCAATAAAAACAAAACATTCGTACGTTATACCTACCTACGTTATGACATTATGCGCGCGAACAAAAATGTAATCTATATTATCTATCCGGTTAGACCGGGTTTTCGAAGGTGATCTCGGACCGACGTTTGCGCGGCGTCACGATCGTCCGCCGCACGGATATAGTCGCGGTGCTGCGGCGGCGACAGCATTGGACTTGACGGCTGCCGGTGGCGACCGTCGTTTTCAGCGCCATTCGACGACAACATAATAATGTTATAATACTGGTCACGTGTCATATGAATATAGTGCACCGTCGCACCGACAATAAGTATTTTACTGTCGTTGACAATCATGATAATATTGTGTGGTGTTGAGAAGGGGTGTGCGGGGTCAAGCTTTTTGGGTACGCAGTCGCCTTACCCCGGTGCGGTGATTCCTCCACCTAGCCACCGGTTGAATCTGAGGACGACCCGATCGACCCCCATTCGCGCATTTATGCAGATTGACCAGGCTCTTCATTCAGACTACGTTATTATGGATCCGTGATGCCCAACACATTATTTTTTTTTTTTTGGAGAGCCATATAGTTTGTAGGTAACGTTTTGCCTCTGTATGAGCAACCCACAGTGGAAATTCATAAAATATCCATAAAAGTATAATATTGTTTGTAATGTTTGTATATTTTGTTTCAACATACAAGTTTGACATAGGTAATGGGCAATATGGGCATCACAGTCGTTGTTGTTTTAAATTTAATTCAACAAAAACACTTGCATTAGGCGTCATCGTAATATAATATAAAACCAACAAATCAATTAATGACCGTGCAATAATTGCTTTCGGAACTCGTTCTGTTCCGAAACCAGTTATTAACTAAAAATATAATTTTAAAGGACAAGGTGAAACACAATTGTTACCCTGGGGTATGAAGTTTAAAGTAAATTCTGAGAGAATCAGCAAGATACATCTTTTATGGATTCAATTTTTATATTTACTATTTACACACAATTGTACAAACTAAAATAGTGTTATTGTGGAAATATATAACTCTGTATAACAACAAGAGGATGTTTATAATATAATATATAAGTTTAAAAAAAAATTTAAAGCTTTATTATAATATAGTTTATAAAAATTTCAATAAATAAATAAGAATACAAACAAGAGTAATAAAATGGATGATAACAATTTGTAGCCATTATAAAAATAATATATTATGTGAAAATTATTGGTACAAAATATTAGTTTATTTTTTCGTGTATTGGATTTTTTCGATCTTTACTTCATCGTCAACCAACCTATAGACATATGATACCACTGTTGAACTTTGAATATCCATTACCACAAAAGAGGGAATGATGTCACTAAAAATTAAAAATTAAATAATTAAATAACGTTTAGCCTTGAAATAACATTTTTTTGTAACACAACAAATAATAATTAGCATGAATATTATATCATACTGAATAAGATAGTTTTTAATATAGTTACATATTAATAATATTGATAAACCACTAATTGCCAGTACACAGTAATCCAGATATAAATCATATTTGGTTAATAACCAAATAGCATACAATTTTACAGAATAAAATCAAATATTATTTAATATGAATAGCAATATCAGACCTTTTAAGGTATATAATATTTTGTTAACATCTCATCTTGTTATAAGAATAATTATTCTGTGAAGCAATTGAGCAAAATAGAACAGTATTAATACAATATATTATTATAATGAATACTTGCTGCTTAATAATCTAAATCAGTAGTAATTATAATGTAGGGGTGATTGAGGACCCGTGATGGAAGACTTTTAGAAAAAACCTCAACCAATTTTCTATCAAATGGTACTTTATGTTTTTTTACAAAAAATCTCTTGTATTTTTATACTTATTAGTTATTTTATATTACAAACCAACACATCAATAATTATTTTTATTAGACATGATATGGCATTTGGTATTTCAATAAATGTTTTCTTAATATGGTAGTTATAGTTTTTTAAACATGTGTTGAGTACACCTTATTTACCCAATGTGTCGTCCAAGCGTTAATTACAGTTGTTGATATTAAGATATATATTTATTGTCTATAGATATTCTACATAAATTGTACAAGAAATTATAATTATTGTGCTTTGTATTAAAATACCTTCGCAAAACCAGGAATTTAGCACACACGCATTTACTGTAATATAACTCATAAGGTATATATATAAATAAATATAAAATATTTTTCATAAGTAATAAATATATGAATTTAAATCTTTCCTAAAATTTTTTTTGATAAATTATTTTAAAGGTTTCTGTTGATTTGAATAAGGAAAAAAAATTGATTAATTGAAAAGTGGGTGCTAGCTCAACAGCTAAAAATAGATTCGACTCTTTATGTATACTTTAAAGTTATGATGATTATACTAATATATAATTAACTGATATATTTTATAAACAAAAATGTACATTTATCATTCAAATGAATAATGGTAGGTACCAAAATGATTTTGTTATTATATTTATGTTATCGTAATTTATAACTTTAAAAGGCTTTTATAATTTTTTTTGTTTTTTTAGACAACAAGGTACTAAAGTTTATTGGGAACTAATTATATTGCAAAATAGACTGTTTTTGTATTATTTCATATGTAGAGTAAAAATTATAAGATAATATGTTTATTAAATCCAAAACAAAATTATTCTAGTGCCTTCTAAAACACGTTTTAAATGTATGTATAAAAGTATATATGTCTTACGGGTTTAATGGATTAAAAGCTCCAGTAGCTGATCCTGGGTTTAAGAAAAATTTATTTCCAAGTTCGAACGCATCAAACTTGTGAGTGTGACCGAACACCAGTACGTCTACATCTAGTTGCCTCTGGAGTAGTGCCAGAGATTCTGGATCGCCCCATGGTATCACTTGATGACCGTGGCATAAGCCCACTTTAAACTGTCCGACGTTCACTACTTTTTGGTCTGGATAATTGAGGTTCTAAAAATATAAAATTGAATCAGAAATGACAAAATGTTGATGCACAAAGTTTTCTAATATGTTACCTCGTCGAAATCACCGCGCACAATGTGCACATCATTGGCGATCGACTTTAAGAACTCGTACATCTCTTTTGTGCACAAGTTGCCCGTGCACAAGACGTGTTGTATCTTACCCGGAGTCAACAGCTTCTTAAATTGGGCCGGTAGTCCACTGCTGCGGAACGGCACATGCATGTCTCCAATCACTAACACCGAACACTGAAAGTAATAGCCAATGTTATTGTTTTAATGTATACATTTTTGGTTTATGGGTGTTCAGTACAAAATATCCGGAAAACGTAAAAAATTCTAAGTGCATCCAATTGGTCTTACCATTTCGAGCAGTTCTAACGTCTATTATTTCGAAATGGACAACACCAATCTACGATTCGACGAAATAGACTAGATTATTTCGTTAAAGCAGCATCAACATCAAAGAAAAACAAAATTCCTGGATAAATGAAAACAATCACCGACCGGATTCGTGTGCAGTGTTCACCGTTATCACGAATGACTTATCAAGCGCACGAGAGAAAAACGAGATTGAAGAACTTGTCTTAAAATTTCATGGAGGAAAATTTTTTTAAACACCTATCACGATTGTCTGACCATGAGGAAATTCTGTAGCGGAAAACGTTGTAAACGTTTGATAACGGCGAAATTCGGACGATCTGTTTGCTCATAGACCTATTAATTTATAGGTCTGTGTTTGCTAAAAGAAGCTGCAAACGTTTGCAAACATTGCAAACTCCATGATCCAGCGTTTGGCCTGTTTAGTTTTAGTAACCAGAACCGTGGTCGAATTTGTCTATACTTTTGCCACTATCACTAATAATTCACAATCCATATTTATGATGTTAGTTGTATAATGTATAATATTAATATGTTATTATGTTATTATGTGTTGGATAATATGGTCGTACCACAGATTAATCTATGGTCGTACGCTCGACAAAAACTTGTTTGAATAATTTGCAATAACTATTTCCATCGATTGCAAACTTTGTTTACCTAATCAACACTACTTCTATTCTGAGTACCTACCTACCATTAATTAAAAATACATTTTATAAGCTGGATTGAGCTATTATTTAGAACTAGGTATATTTAGTTAGAAACTAGGTATCTAGGTTTATAATTTCTGTTTATTATACTAGAGTATTATGCTATCATACTATTATATTTGACTTTAACAGTTTAAGATTCTGAGCGAAGCGATGAATGTATTGATTTTACAATGATGTGTGTTTTTATAGTTATTTATTTTCTTGTGTCTGTCATTAGGGTTTCTTACAGTAAAAGTGCTTCGATTTTCTCCAGCAGCAACTTTTCTGGTGGGAAAGTGAATCTAGTTGGTGCATTCGGGAGGTCAAAATTTAAAATTTCCAATAGTTTTCAAAAGCAACAGGAAAAACAAATAAACAATTTAAGAAAAACTGAAATTTTTACGCAAAACCAGTTTAAAAAAAATCGAATTTGGTTTTTTGTATTACTCTAAAAAAATGACCTTAAATACATGAAATTTTCACTGAATATTTGTACAGCAGAACTTCGATCAACCGTCACTGTCGGGACCGGGGCTATGACGGTTAATCGAATAGACGGTTAACGGAAATTTTGCAAAAAAAAACGCTTGCATACATATAATATGTACACACATTTATTATATTTTTTACGTGTGTGTACTTTAAAAAAAAAATTACTTACATATAACATATAAATTAATTATTATAACACATATAAATTATAAACATACATACCACACATATTATAAAAAAAAATCTATAATTTTAGTTTGGTTTTTTGATTCTCTAGCTTTTTTAGCAGCAATATTACGTATTTGACGTAGAAGTAAGACTTGCGTAGCATTTGACAATCGTCTAATCGCCTAATTATTTATTTTTTTCGGCGATGACCGATGACGGATAACAGAGAGTGACGGTTAATCGAGTGACGGTTAATCGAAGTTCTACTGTATTAGCATTTTCTTTCATAAAATGTTCAAAATGTTTTGACTTGTGTTGAACTGTTTATAGGCATATGAAATTTTCGATTATTATTTGTTTTTTTTAAACTAATGTCGATAAAAAATTTTTCACTTGGTTAAAAAACTTGTAAATGTAATACAAAGTTCCTCGTAAGTTGTGGTTGGTGCAAATTTTAAAAAAAAAGTTGAGCTTCAATCCACAATAATTTTATATGAGCGTTTAAACTTAGAATTTTGACAAAATTCGTAAAATCACGAAAATTAGCAAACTATATTTAGTTAGAAATTCATAAACAATTTTCTTTTTATATCTAAGATTTAAAAATTTAATACAAGATTTCTTATAAATTTGTCTACCTTTATTAAAAAAAAAAATTTCCACCGGAACGTAAAATTCAATTTTTATGAGCGTTTGAAATTTTTACAACATTAGGTATTCACTCGATTTCTCTTGTAGCGATTTTCTTATTTTATTGCTATTCAAAAACGAATCAAGTGATTTTACCTATGTAATATAAAATGACATTAAGATCAAACACACGTTTTATTACTACACAATGAATTGGTAGTTCGATAGTATTTGGATTATTAAGATTGCACAATAATGTATTGGCGGATAACTGCAGAAGCACAAACGTACATTATTATTATTATTCATTGATGGCATTTTACAAAAAAAAAATACAAAATTCAAAATTGAATAGCTTCTTTAATAATTGACCCATAATTATGAAAGATACGTCATAATACATTAAAAAATAAATCCTATATGAATCATATTTCAAAACTATAGGTTGATAAACTGAATACACTAGTTGTTAAGATTGTGTAAGCGATTTAAGATAATGTCTTAAATCGTGTATGTGTCAAAACACTTAGCGCTACTTTAGTCCTTGTGAATAACCTATGTACTTATTAGTTATTATTAGTACTACCATAGGAAAATATTCAAAAATTATTCAAATATTCATAATAATATAAAAAGAACAAACCTAATAAAATAAATTATATTTAATATCTAATATATATTTTATTATAGGTACCTACCTAAATATTAAAATGTTTGAAATTCAAAGTTTTAATCATAGATAATAATATGTACTGTATGTAGGCAGTTGTAAGCGCCTTAAGTAGGGGCTACCGGAAGGACCACTCGGCACTCGGTAATTTAAGAGAACAATTTCTGTTTTCAACTATGGCCAATGCCACCACTAACACCGACTATTGCACTGGGTAGGCAACTATATGTGCCTTCGCCTGATATGTCACGTGTAGGCAATTCTACGCTAAGACGAAGACAACGACGAGGACGGGAGAGACCTATCAAAAGAATTAGGATGGTGTATTGGTGTTAGTCAGTTATTTGGGGGGGGGGGGATCTCTGTGGTCGATTCGGTCTGGTGCAATGACCACAGAGCTCAAAAAACCAGGGACAGTACTTAAAGACTAACTCAAGACTACTGACGTTTTGAGATGACGAAAGACTGACGACGACTTGGATGCAGTAGGCAGACGTCGAACTGGACGACCTAGGCGGACTTACACGATGACTACTTACGGCACCGACGTTGAAAATCGACAGCTGGCAAGTTTGATGGCGATAATAATATTAGAAATAATAATTCAAAACTTACGAATCCAGTGTTAGTGACAAATCGGACTTATTTGCTTGATCTCTAATACAATAATCATAACAAATTTATGTGCTCGCTTTATTAGTGGGTTACACATATTATGTAATAAAAATAGCTTTATTAGTTAAACAAGTTACAATATTAGGGTCGCTTTAATAGCGGACCAAAAAGTTAGCGAGAGCGACATACAGGGCGGTCGCTGCTGGCAGACAATGTAACGCCAATTATAATGATAGCAATTATAATAATACAAATAATAATAATAATAATAAGGCGTTGGCCGCATAAAATAATTATAGCAAATACAATAAACAGATAATGACAACACAGTCGACAAAGAGAGTACATATAAAAAAATATCGGTGAACAAAGAACAACGATAACTCTAACAGTTAAAATAATAATATAATGACTCACATGACAATCAATGAGAGGTGACTGGGATAGATGAGTGATGATAAGTATGATAATATAGTATGATGCGCTAATAGCATTCTTATTGTAAAGAATATTTTTCTTTTGTACCCGGAATACTTACATATTTATTCGAATAAATGAGTATTAAGGTATTCCGAATACACTTAAAAAATATATACTGAATACATATTCGAATATTCGGAAAAGTATTCGAATCATAATAGTGTATGTTTTTCCTGTTTTTCGATATTGTGGTTGGAAATTAACGCGGGTCAATCATATTTCATTCAAAGAGAAAACCTATTGTTTATAACACATAAAGTGCACGATTTTTTGCAGAAAAATTTGTTTTGTCACAAATATAAACTATTTTCGAGTTAAAAATGTTTTTTTTTAATGAATAAATAATAAAAAAAAAAATATTTTGGATAAGTATTCGAATAATTGTTTCAAAAAGTATTTAAAATAGTATTCAAATACTTTATAAGACCGTATGTAGTTAGGTACGAGAAATATATCATTACATGTTTTTAATAATTTTAAATTATTACATAATTTATTTATTGTATCGTGTAATTTTACTGTATTATTAGCCCTATCCGTTATATATATATACATATCAAATATATCAAATAAATTATAGGCATAATTAACGTTTAACTGCAGATACTCGAAATTTACACCGTATGATTATCATATTAACTTATATACTCTATACATTTTCAAAATATTTTGACTCGTTTTGAGCTGTTTTTAGACATTTTCAATTTTAAAGTTTTTTATTGTTTTTTATAAATGTCAATAAAATTGTACTTGTTTTGTCAAAACGCTCGACAATGTAATACAGCTGAACTCCTGATATATTGTTTCAACATCACTTGAAAAATATTAAAAATACATATGTACGATTTTGTTTTATAAACATTTAATAAAGTTAAAATTTTGACAAAATGTTTCATATTGAAAATGTCCAAATTATTTTGTAGTTAAATATTTGTAAAATGTTCAAATTGTATAGCTAAGGATCAAATTTTGAACACAATTTTGCCCACAAGTAATGAATTTTCTGTAACCAAAAAAACCAAAAAAAATATATAAATAAAGTTTTTTTAATAGTTATTTTATGTACAAATATGGAAAACATTAAATATCATTAAATAACAGAGAATAATGATACATAAGAATAACTACATAATAGTAAAATAAATTTTGTGAAAAGAGGCGATTCAATTCTTACCAAGGCCAAACCTAACCTCCGCCCACCCAAATAAACATTTTTTTCAGAATTTTTTTTAAAACAAATATTTAACCTATAAAATGACTAACCTATATATAACGATGCACAATGCAGATAAACCAGAATAAAAATCGAAAATTGTCACAATGTAGTTAATCTTTATTTTTACAGAATTTGAAAGGATATACAACGATACACCTTAGAGTATGTATTATTACTATTTAGTGTGTATTAAAA